CTCTACTTATAGACTTCGTTCTACGTACTCCCCTATTGCCTCTATCCCCGACTTCGAACAATCGTCGATTATTAAGAAACGCTATCCTACGCTACCCTACTAAATTCGATNGAACGATCGAATTTTAGATTCTACCCTTCTGCTTAATACTAGGTACGATGTATTCGCCCTAATTAATAGCACCTTTATCTAGAAACACTAGTTACCTATCTAGAAACTACGATACCCCCTTAGCCTAGAGGTCGCCGATAGCTACCTTTCCGGAACTAGCTAGATTACGTACGTAGTTAAACTTAAAGTCTAGACCGGGATGCACCTAGAAGCTATATACTTCCTCGTAACATACCTTACCTATACTTTAATCCTACTTAGCTACCCCTAGTTTACCCTATACGACGCCGTTATTCGTCCTAAGGCCGGAACTATTACCTTTAACTCTACGTACTGTAATAAGCATTACTAAACGGACCCTACGACCCTTCGTCTACGTTCTAAAGAAACTATTACGAAATCTATAACCCTAGAAGTAATGTTAGAATCATTAACTGTCCCCCCGAAGAACCCGCCCCTAGAAGTAGTGCTAGAAACATTTACTGTCCCTACTATGCCTTACCTTCGATCCGACCTAATTAAGTGCGCTTAGATTAGCGCCTAGGCCTTTAAGAAGTTTACGAAAAGAAGAGACTACTAGATCTTTTCTTATTCCTTACGAGATCTTAAGCGTACTACCGCTTAAGGTATAGAGACCGGCGATAGAGAGCTTTCTCTCTAGGGAATAGAAGAGGAGCTAGCCGAACCTATAAACCTAACCCCGAACCTACGCCTAGACAATATGTAAACCGACCTAGAAGCCTACCGGAAGAGTAAGGACGTTAACCCTACTCTTATTCTACCGAACTAGTACTACGAATACCTCGATGTCTTTAGCCGAAAAGACGTAAAGACCTTACCCCCGTACCGACCCTATAACTACGCTATCGACCTAGTTCCCGGAAAAGAACCCCCTTATAGCCCCTTATACTCTATATCTCGCGATAAGAGCGAAGAACTGCTAAGAGAACTTAAGTTATAACTAGATAGCGGTTTCATCCGCGCTAGCCGTTCCCTAGCTGCCTCCCCTATACTCTTTATTAAGAAACTAGGGGGGGGTCTTCGTTTCTATGTTAACTACTAGGGATTAAATGTAATCACCGTTAAGAACCGGTATCCCCTACCCCTAATTATAGAAACCCTCGC